TGATCCTTGGACCACCTGCTAATAAAGTCCTCAGGGCTGTGATGTTCAAATAAGATCTTAAGCCCTCTCAGGTAGAATTGTTCAATGAGCCTGGGGAACATGGAGCACAGGGGAGGGGAAGGAGGAGAGAAAAAGACAATGATACCTTTCTGTTCCAATTTACTATTCAGGACTCACCCACAATGAAGGGGGAGACCTGATTCTCTGGGTTCTATCCTTCCTTCACAAGGTCAAGTAGCAGAGCATGAAACAACACAAAATAAAGCCAACTGGTAAAATGAAGAGAAAAGCGTGTCGTTTAAAGGTTGAAAAAAACAACTCAGACAGAGACTTTTATAGATCAAAATTTGGGACTAGGATGGAACCTCACTGACCACAGCCCAGTGATTGCTTAAGGGAGTTTCCTGTTTTACAGAGAAGGCTTAGGGGTCTCCATGGGACAAGCCTGTGGCTGGGGAGGCTGAGAGGGCCCAGACGCCAGATGTCCACACCGGGTCCACCACAGAATCGCTGAGATATGTTAGAAAAATCGGGATTTGCAATGACATTTTGAGAAAAGGAGTTTATTTCTTAAAAACAAGTATGAAAGCCTATTTGCAAATAAATAGAATCAGTGAAATGAAATACAGCTAAAATCACTTACAATTAGGGACAGACCAGGAGCAAAGATTTTTGTGGTTTTTCCTGTGTATCTCTACTTTGCATAAGAAGAGAAGGGATATTATGATATGTTGTTAATTGAAAAACAGACAATTCCTGAGTTTTTTGAAAAAGGAAAATAAGGACCAGATAGCTACATTAATATTAAGGTACAGTCTGTAAATGCAGATGAGACCCAGGGCACTCCTGGTGTGTCTCATTTTATTAAAATAAAGTCACTTTCCCATGTATTCACAGATATTTTCATGTTTCCATTTTTTTCTATATGCTATGGAAAAATATGGCCAAAAAACCTGTCCTTACCTGCATACACTCTAATTTCACTGTGAATAACCTTGAGCAGTTTGTTTTATTGAGTTGCATTATGCATTTAGGGGTGCTTTATTTTCATGTATAATCCATCTCCAATATCCTTATTAGAATCAATGAGCTCTTACCAAACATTGACTAACTGTCAGCTGTCACGCTTCTGGGCCATTCCTCCCGCATTTGACGCCTGCTCACCTCCCCTTCGTACGCACAACCCAAAAGCAGAAAGCAAAAAACACTCCATTAATTCATTCCCTAAACATTAATTAAAGTCTGTCCAGATTCTGAAGAAGGCAAAAGTACATATCAAACAATTCCTCTAAGAAACCTCCACTGCTTTCCCAGATAGAACCAATTCTTCTCTCCCCTCTGCTCCCGCAGGACTCAGAGATTCTATTTTCATGCACAGCATAATCTTCGCTCTGTCAATGTTAATTACCCACGGCTGTGTCCCTCCACGCCTCTCCTCAGATGCACTGTGACTCTCTGGAGGACGAGAACCAGTTTTATTTGCTTTGTGTGTTCTCATGTCACTAAATACGGCCTTAATTCTTCCACATTGCAGGAAGCTTAGTGAAGAAAGCAACAAATAAAACTTCCTAGGATAAAAGAAGTTCAAAAATAAATCAGAAAAATGATTTTCAAAAAACAAACATTAACAAAGAAAGGGTCTGCTGCTCAGGCTACTGGGTTCTGCATCTTCTTTGCTCTCTGACAAAATGCCCAAAAGGGCTCGCCATCTCACGCAGCCTTTCTGTGTGACCCTGTTCCCTCTGAAATCAACCTCTATCAGTTTTTAGTACCACTACTCCACCAACAAATATTGAGCCAACCGAGAGAAAATATTTTATTAAAAGGAATCCCATATGTATTATTTTTAAAGGTTTTTGGTTTGGGGTGTTTTTTTTTAAGAGATGGGGTTTCGCTGTGTGGCTCAGGCTTGTCTCAAATTTAATGAGCTCAAGTGATTCTCCTGTTTCATCCTCCTGAGTAGCTGGGACTACAGGTGCATATTACAAAAACTAAATGTTATAAATAAAACAACAAAAGTGTTAGAAGAAAATCCAGTTGCATATCAATATAATCTTGAGACATGGGAGGTTTTTTTATACAGTACTGCAAAATATTAATCAGTGTCATTATTTTACATGTCATTTTTATTTTGTTCATTTGTTTTCTGCATACTAGATAACAAACGTAAAAATTTTCAATGAAAAAAAGCAATTCACATTACTGTAGTCCAGAAGTTTCTGCAATTGACCCTATTTCAGTACTTATTTTATGGCAGCCTTTAATAGCAGGCTACATTTAAATGCTTCTTTGAAACAAGACCTATGTGGAAAGTTACTTTACAAATAAAATAACGTACATGCTAGTAATCAGATAACACATTTGAAATACACAAGAATAAACTGCAAAGCTTAAATTCAAGTATTTTAAGAGAAGAGTCCTAAACATAGCTCTCTTTATAAATTGCCTGTATCATTTATTCTGAATTATTTACTTTATAAATTGAAAGTTGTTTTCTTATTAATTAAAAGAATAGAGGCCTTTCTCAGAGCCAAGAATTTAAAAATGCTTAATATCTCACATATATGTGTACATTTGTGTGAGTGTGTATGTGCATACACATACATAAATGCATATAAGTGCATAAGTATATGTAAGACCTAAGTTCAACATTTTACAAGTTGTGATGTTATTACATATATTAAAATGAACTTTAATTAAATAAAATAATAGTATTATACTTAAGGAAGAATCATTTTTCAGAACAGTGATGTTCAGGAAGACTTGGAAGAAATATATCTAAATTCAGCAACATTTACTGCAATGAAAGTAGTAGAAAGCACGTCTTTGGAATACATTTAAGTTTCTGTTTGTTTTGGGCCTGGTAGATGTGGCAATGCCTCTGAAAACAAACGGCATTCTTTTGGGTTAACTTTGCAGCCCTGATGCTCAGAAAGAATGTTACCTGTATAGATCAGTGGCTAAAAGCAAAGAAGAACCAAGCAGAATACACAAAAGAGCGTGGAGAAAAAAAAAGGGAACTCAAAGTTTTAACAAAAGAAACCTTTTTTTCTGAAAACACATGGCATTTTTGCACCATTTCTTCATTTAGACTATCTGCCTACATGTTCTCTAATTGACTGATTTCAAGATTATTCAAAATATACAAAATGTCTCAAAAAGTAAATATTCAATCTCAAAAAATGAATGTTCAATGCTATCTATACATATCATTGGAAATGACCTATTCAACATGAATTTGAAACTGTAAGAGAACATTTTTAGGGGCTCTTGCCCCTAAAATGTCACAAGAAACACATTTGGATGCCCAGCATCTACTCTCAAATGTTGTAGAAGTCAGATCAATGGTTTTCAAACTGTTTTAATTGTTCATTACTAAGGACTGAAAGTTTGTGCCCCCCCAAAATTCATACGTTGAAATCTTAACTCCCACCGTGATTGTATTAGGAGGTAGGGCCTTTGGAAGGCAGTGAGGTCATGAAAGTGGGACCTTCAGGAATTGGGTTAGTGCCCTTATAAAAGACCCAAGAGTTAACTTCCTCTTTTCTTTTTTTTCTTTTTTTTTTTAAATTGTACTTTAGGTTCTGGGGTATATGTGCAGATCATGCAGGATTGTTGCATAGGTACACACTTCTTTAGCTCTGCTCTCTGACATCTGAGGAGTCAAAGAGAAGGGACTGTAAACCAGGAAGTTAGGCTTCCCCAGATGACAAATCGGCTGACAACCTGATCTCAGACTTCCAGCCCTGAAAACAGTGAGATTCTGTTGTCTTCTGTTTCTAAGCCACCCAGTCAGCACTTTATCATTGCAACCCCAAATGGGCTAAGGTGCTCATTTGGTCAGTAAGAAAACGAAGGCTTGAAGCAGTTTGCTTAAAATCCGACTTATTAAATATTTGCATCATTAACCAAACTCCAGGTCTTCCCAGCCCAGCATCATGTCGCAAAATTATGAGGCTAAACCTTTACCCAGAAACGGCCCCAGGAAAGAACTTCAAGCAAGTGTCCTCTTCTGAATCCTGGCCCCTTGCCTGTGCCTCTGGGGCACTGCTGATCACACTGTATGGTAATTCCCTTAAGACACTATATGCTCCTTGAAATACTTATGATTCATTTTTAAAGGGAAACAATCAATGCATTAAATAAAATGTATCTGGCTCATTTAAAAAAATACAGAATACATACTTATTGCATACAAAATACATTTCAGTATTTAAAATATTTGATAGGCTGGAAAGGTTAGATAAGTAAGGTTCTTTTTCCTTCAGAGAGTGTGTGTCTAAATGCCATCAATTTTAAAACCTGATGTATTCACCTCCAATACCTCAAAGGCCTAAACATTTTAGTCCTAAAGAATCCTGCCATTTCCCTAATTCCAGCAATGAATTATAGGGATGGGAACAAGAAACGTGGTGATGGCCACAGGGACCCACCCTTTGGCATCCAGTTGGCCTTTAGCTAAGTGATGAAGAGGACATGGGCAGCCAGGCCGCAGAGCACTGGCCTCATGACCCAGAACCAGAATCTGGGGTAGGTCATGTCCTATTACAGGTGACCCTTTAAGGAAATGCATTAAGCAGAATGTCAGGTTGAGTGGAAATTACATGTCCCTTCTCACATCTTTGTTCAGATCTCACAGGAAGGGGAAGCCACGGGGACGGTCGGCGGGGCAGGGTCCCCAAATCTACCGGAGAAACTAAGTGCAGCTTGAGGAAGCCTCTCAACCCCGTCTGCTTGGTGTCATTCCTCCACCTCTACTTCTAAGGGGATATCAAATTAGTACTTCTCATGAGTCTCTTGTCACTTAGTCAATAAGCATTACATTAGCAATTTTAGGACTGTCCCCAGGCAATCAAAGTATTACATGACAACTTCCATTATTCTTCATAATCTCCTGTTTAAAAAGCTTTATTTCATATAAATTTATATAATCAAAAATCTTTGTAAATAAAATATTGCTATCCTCGGTTGTGTTCATCACTTTGTCTCATCCATCCACCCAAGGAGAAGACCTGTTTCTTTTTTCTTTTTCAAAAGCTAACATTTTATCTTTGAAAATGCCTGTTCCATAGACAGTAAGTGCCTAGTTGAACTCTTAGCGAGTGTGAGTTGGGTTTAACAAAGAGTATACCTGGAAGTGAGGGGTGAGCCATCATCCTGGTAAAACCTCCTGCAGCATCTGCAGGAGTCAGGTGTACCTGGAACCACGAGGGGAGGGGAGAAGCTTCATAATGCAGGCAGGTGGGTGAAAATAACTCACCTCACAGGGTTCCAGAAATGGAGGAATACGCCTTGGTCATAGAGTGCACCAGGAACTATGGGAGGTACTCTATGCAAAGTATATGCAAATCACTTGGAAGAGTCTGTCACAGTGGAATCTTCACATGAATAGCAGCTGTACTAAGTTGAATGGTGTCACCCCAAAATTAATGAAGTCCACTGGAACCTCAGAACATGACCTTAGTTAAAAATCAGGTATTTGCAGATGTAATCAGTTAAGGACCTTCAGATGAAATAATCCTGGATTTAGAGCGAGTCCTAAATCCAATAATTAGGGTCTTTGTAAGAAGGAGAGAGGCCACATAGAGGCGCAGAGAAGAACCCCAGGGGAAGATGAAGGCACAGATTCGAGTGATATGACCCCAAACCAAGGAATGCTGAGGAATGCCTGGAGCCACCAGAAGCCAGAAGAGGCAAGAAATAATCCTCCTCTAGAGCTTTCAGAAAGAGCTCGACCCTGCTGACACCCTGATTTTTAACTTCCCATCTCTAGAACTGTGAGAGATTACATTTTTTTTTGTTTTAAGCTGCACAGTTTATGATAATGTGTTATGACAACCCTAGGAAACTTACTGTAGCCATTTTTACTGTTGTTATATATTTATCACTTGAACCTTTCCAAATGAAAATTATATTTCAATTTGCATTTGATAGTCAAATTGGATTTGTGTCACTTTCTTTCCAAATAAGAAAACTGGGTCATGTATTCACTTTTATTTAATTAAAAACTTGCCAAAAAAAAAAAAAGAGGCAGAATCCAAAATTTAAGAACCTATTGTTTGTGTTTTTTCAAAATTTATTTGTTGAAATTATAACCCCTAGTAGGTGATGGTACTTTTGAGAGGTGATCAGGTCATGAGGATGAAGCCCTCAAGAATGAGATTAGTGTCCTTATGAAAGACATGAAAGCTTCTGTTCTTTCTCTCTCTGCGATGGGGGGATACAAGGACACGGTCAGAAGGCCACCATCTGAAAGCCACATGGATATCAGCAGACACAGCATCTGCTAGTGCCTTCAATGTGGATGTCTAGCCCTTAAAATTGAGAAATAAATGTCTGTTGTTTAAGCCACTCAGCCTATGGTATTCTGTGACAACAGCCTGAGTTGACCAAGAGACCTACAAAATGTTTGTTAATCTTCACAAGTCAGGGAAATCACCTCTGCCCAGACAACATCCACTGGGGATAGGCGGCCCTATAATATCTGAAATTTTCCATGATTCACTCCCCCAGCAAGTTAAACAGCCCCACCTGCAAAGTCTTACTTGTTCTTTCAGTCTTTGCTTTAATATTTTATAAAAGCCAGAGAAGTCATGGGAAGCCAGGCGGACCACAGAGAAGTCACAAAAGGCATGACTTTGCACCTGCCCCTGATTCTCTGGGAACCTTAGTTTCCTCATCCATAAAACAGGTGACCTGCGACACTTAGCAGGGGTAGGGATTGTGTGAGATGATGCATGAAATATGTACACCATCCCAGCACACTGCAAGCATTAAGCTGGCACCAGCAACGGTCCAGCTACGGCTCCAAGCACCAGCCTCCAACACTTACTGAATGAGAGGGAGAATGAAGAGGCAGCCCAGAAAGTGGCCTCAGCCCCCAGCCCCCTTGTGTGCAGCCCAGCCAGTCTATCACTGAGAAGAACAGTGGCTGGAGTGGCCACATGTCAAGGACTTTGGAACAGAGAGTCAGGTCCAATCTGGGCTTCCACTGCCAGTGGGAAACCCTGGTGGGTTTCCCAGCCTTGCTGAGCCTTTGTTCCCTCCTCCACAAAAGAAGATCCAAATAATCCCTAGTAACCTGGTCATAATACTTAAAAGACGTGAACTGATACCAGGGCCTGGCTGTAGATAGGTGCTCATTCCGTCTTCCCTGACAAGATCCCTGCATGAAACTCAGCAGGTACATTGTCCCCTCCTAGGACACAAGCATTTTTAAAGAGGGCCAAGGTGTAGAGAGGTCCTTGCCTTGGGAAAATGTTTCACAAGGCATCGATGGGGAGATATTTTCAGTAGGAAGCCATGCAGGAGCGCTGGGAGTCTGTGTACTCAGGGTAGCTGTGGGCGGTATTTCCTTGGGCCAGGGGGATATGTATCTGGAAAAGGGCTGTGCCCAGTGAGTGACATCTCTGCCAGGGCCTTGGGCAGACTCTGACCCAAACCAAAAGGCAAAGTAGCCAGAGGATCATTGGCTTTGGCTCTGACAGATCTGGATTCAAATAACAGCCACTGCCCCACTGTTCTACCTTATGCAAATCACGTAGACTTCTCTGAGCCACCTCAGTTTCCATGTGAGGAGTATGGGGTAATAATACCTATTCCACCAGCTGTAGCTTCCCCTAAGCACAGCTCCTGGCACAAACCTGGCAGCAAATACTTGGGGCTTTCCTCCCTAGTCCACGCATAGTCCTCAGTGGCCTTTGTTTGTAGGTTCTTTATGTTCCTTTGAGATGCAGTTCATCCATTTTAAAAATAAAATAAAGTTTGATTGATTTAGCAAAAATGTAGACGACATTTGCTAAACTTGGATTTATGTCTCATTTACTATTTATTGGGATCAAGTCACTGCTGCCCTCACCACAGAACCCACAGAAAAAAGAGAAGCTCAGGTCTTTCTAAGGGAAGTTATGTGTTACACTTCCCCTTTTCACGAGAGGCCTAGTGAGAATGTGGTTTTGCTCCAGGGGCTGAGACTGGGGCAGGGGCCTGGAGGGTCCTTCCTAAAGGTTGACATCACTCAGTTATTGGTGGGAGGGGGACTGAAAAGTATTTCTTCTTGAAGCCCAAGTCAACCCTATCCAAATTCCCCCATAACAGCAAGCAGAGCCACTAAGACGGAGCCAAGAGCAGCCCAACCTCGGTCACGGGGAATCTTCAGTGCTTTCTGTCCCCAACCCTGCCTGTCCTGGGGAGGACAGCCCAGAGGCAGACATGATCCCACTGTCCCCAGGTGTAGACCCAACAGCATCAAGGAAGACAGTCTGCTTCCCTTTCTAGAATCTGTTTTTCTCCACAGTCCCACACCACGGCCTTCCTTTCTTGCTTCTTATGCTCCTGCTGTTAGAAAGATCTTAGTTCTGGTTACTGAGGGAAACATGAAATGGTGGCTTATAATCAAATCAGCCCAGAAGCCATCCTGCACCCAACTTATCACCCAGACGGACCTGAAAGCTAAATCTTCAAAGGCCAAACACAGCCATCTCCTTTTCCAAGCCCTGGGATTCAGCTGTCAGGCCTTGTGAAAACCATTCTCCTCAAGGGCAAAACTTTAATGCACTGTTTACACGTTGAAGCAAAAGAGGTGTACATAATTAATGGAGCACAGAAAATCAAGGGACAGAACACAAAGTAGGTTTTAGAAGTAAAAGGCTTGCAGGAGGAAGGCATGCCCTTCTGAGTTATCCTGCACAAGTCCAAAGACACCAGTGGAATCAAAAGGCAGATCATGAGAACCAGTCATAGGGGACCCTCTCCCAGCCTTTGGCACAGCGAGGAGAGAAAACAAGGTGTCTGGCCACTTGGTTTCCAGAGCAATGCTTCCACTGTCCTTCGAACGTGCCTCAAATTGTTCAAGCAAACTCAGAATGTCTCTGCCACGTTCCCTGGAACGATGGGATGTCCTTGCTGGGAAAGGCAGGGAGGAAGGCGTGGGCAGGCAGGCAGTATTTCCTCTACAGGCAGACACTGTGCAGTGTCCCACAGTCCCCAGGTTGGGGAGGGATTCCTCGCTTGTCATCAGTAAGGGGCGCTCAGCCTGGCATATGGTGTCTCCAATTTTTTAGTGACAAGTGGCATGTTAGCAGAGCTGCGGAGGAGCGGGGAGAGAGCCGGCTGGTTAATCTCTCCCTACTGCCTGCACCCTCCGGCAAAATCATATTGCTTTATGCAGATGAGTTCATAACAGTTTCTTCAATTTGGCTTTTATAGAAAAAAGCGCCAGCTCCTCGCACTGTGTCAACAGCCACCCGAGGGCCTAGCACTTTACAAGGCAAGTGTATTACTATTTAAAGACTAGCTTTTAGCTGAACATCAGGGCTGCCTTCGGAGTTTAATTACCGCCCGCCCCATGGGGCCCAATGAGCCATCCACTCCTCCCAAGGGGGTTCTGCTTGGTGATGATCTTTAACTAAGTAAGTAAATGCTAAACCAGCTCATCTTAAAGCGCCCACATCTGATTTCCTGCTCTGCTGCAAGACAGTGGGTGACTGGTAATGGGCCGTGAGCAATTTAGAATCATCCTGGGTGTAATTAATTTTCAACTGAAAGTAAACCAGTTAAAAAAAATATATATATATATATATATATTTTTATACACACACACACACACACACTATATATATATTATAAAATGTATATGAATGCATTAGAATTAGTATTTCCTTTTCTAAATTATCACAGAAAGATCTCAATAGCATGTACAATTTCCTGAAACAATTTCCAATTTTATTAAAGCAGTATTTTTTTCTTCCTCCTCTTACTTTCTTTCTCAATTTGCAAAACTGAATAAAGTGTTTTTGAAAGGCCAAGGTCACAGTCTTTCTACTCCTAAACAGTGATCATCAAATTAGTCCTTCTAAAGAGGCATGACTTTGGCATATATAATTGTCCTTTAGAAGACAGATTAACATGTCAATAGCAGTACACACTGATATTTTATCTGAGAGTTGCCCAAAGAATTAAAAATCTAGTGCATTTTCCAAAAGCCATGGAAGAATTAAAATAGGGTAAAACAAGGCTAGGCATGGTGGCTCATGCCTGTAATTCCACCACTTTGGGAGACCAAGATGGGCAACCACTTAAGCTCAGGAGTTTGAGGCCAGCCTCAGCAACATGGTGAAACCCCATCTCTACCAAAAATACAAAAAATTAACTGGGTGTGGTGGTGTGCACCTGAGGTCACAGCTACTCAGGAGGCTGAGCAGGAAGAATCACACGAGCTTGGGAGCCAAGACTGCACCACAGCACTTCAGCCTGGGCAACACAGTGAGACCCTGTTTAAACAAAAAAGGAGGTAACACATTAAAAATGCTATTTATCTTCTTGTTTTGAGAAAACACCACCAACAAAAAAATAAAGATACATATATTCAATTTGTGACATAAACAAGCTTGGCAGAATGTTCCTAAGGTGTTGACTGAACACCAAACGGACCAAGTTATTACATTTTCATTCTGGAAAACTCCTGCTGATTCTTCAGCCATTTATTCTGAGATTTAAAAAAAAATGTACCCAGGGCTGTGAGGGTCCTACTACTTGTCCTAAGGAAGAGAACACCTGAGAAGGGTAAGAGGTGGTCATTATACTACCTTCTCTCAACGTTCATATAACCAAAGTAAATAAAACAAATTTCCCTGACATGTACATTTGTGACCCTGAGTTGAATCAGTTATGTCTGTGTTTTTTTGTTTGATTCTTTTTAATTAATTACTTTTTCTGTTGAGGCAAAGTCTCACTCAGTTGCCCAGGCTGGAGTGCCGTGGTGGGATCTAGTTTCACTGCAACCTCTGCCTCCCTGGTTCAAGCAATTCTCCTGCCTCAGCCTCCCGAGTAGCTGGGACTACAGGCCTGCACCACCATGCCTGGCTAATTTTTGTATTTTTAGTAGAGATGGGGTTTCACCATGTTGGCCAGGCTGGTCTTGAACTCCTGACCTCATGATCCACCTGCTTCGGCCTCTCAAAGTGCTGGGATTACAGGTGTGAGCCACCGCACCCAGCCAGTCTGTGTTTTAATGGGATGTCAACCACACTGAAATACTGAGGCAGCATGAAATGGGGTAGAAGAAGACCTAGGTTCCAGGCCTGTCTCATAAGGTATTTCATTTTGGGACACGTCAAACTTCAGCTCACTCGCCTTCATAATTAACAAAGAAATTTAATCTTTATTGACTATATTGACTTTTGGAAACCCCAGCTAAGCTAATAAGGAGAAGGGCTGTGTGAAATGGCAGTGATTTATAAACCTCTTGAAGGTAACTCATGCAAGATGAGATAAATAATACTGATAACTACCAATCTCTAAGCTGACAAAATGTGCTGGCTAAGTCAACATTTTGCTGTATCCTTTATACACTGACATAAATGCTGAAATGAATGAAATAATGAGAAGTTAAGCAAAGAGACTAGTTTTATTGAGGATCTAGGAAGTATCAAGCTCTATGCTTGGCCTTTTAAGTTCTTGATCTTATTTACAAATGAAAAGAATCCTAGTAAAATATTAGTCCTATATATAGGCAATATCTGCTATCATCCAGTTAGTCAATGGTCATCTGGATCCCACATCCAAACCAACACTGAGCCCCAGGCTTGACACTCAACTCAACCAAAGTCCTTTCTCTGGGCTGTCCCGCCTGCCTCCCAGGGCTTTCTACTGTTCAGCCACCTACTAAAAAGTATTTTACTAGCCAGTCACAGTGGCTCATGCCTATAATCCTAGTACTTTGGGAGGCTGAGGCAGGCAGATCACCTGAGATCAGAAGTTCAGACCAGCCTGGCCAACATGGTGAAACCCCATCTCTACTAAAAATAAAAAATTCAGCCGGTCACGGTGGTGCATGCCTGCAATCCCAGCTACCTGGGAGGCTGAGGCAGGAGAATCGCTGGAACTTGGGAGATGGAGACTGTAATGAACAGTGATGGTGCCACTGCACTCCAACCTAGGTGACAGAGTAAGACTCCATCTCAAAAAAATTGCTTTTTCTTCAAAATTGTCACCAAGTGTCTCAATCCTTGCAATTGTCCCTTAGGATAGACCCTCCTTCCCATTCAACAAGGTATTCCAAACAAACACATTATACTCTTTGTGGATATTTCTCTAGAGTAGTAGTAGCTATTAAAAGAAATACTTTAGTCAAATTTAACAAAGTTTAATTGAGCAAAAAATGATTTGAGAATTGGGCAGCCTCCAGAACCATAGCATGTTCAGAGTAACTGCAAGACTGTCACATGGTTGGGATAACATTTATGGACAGAAAAATGAAAGTGAGGTAGAGAAAAGGGAAAAGAGACACAGAAGCAGCTGGGCTGCTTACAGGCTTATTTGAGCTGAGTTTGAATAGTTGGATGAAATGATTGGCTGAAACTGGGATGCTGTGATTGAGACTCAGCTACTTGTTACAAGAGTAGATTACAGTCCCTTTACACATCCAGTTAGATGGCAGCTCACTATGTGCAGAGAAGTCTTTAGACCAAACTTAAAAAATGTAGTGTTAATGAAAAAAACCAAACTCTGTGAAATATTTAAAGAGGTTTATTCTGAGCCAAATACGAGTGATGGTGGCCTGAGGCATAGTCTCAAATAGTCCCGATTACGTACTGCTGCAGGTGGCTGGGTTGCAGCTTGGTTTTACACATTGTAGGGAGACATAAGACATTAATTACCACAAGCAACGTATACGTTGGTTCAGTCCAGAAAGGCAGGAGAAATTGAAGTGGGTGGGGGTGTTGCTTATAGGTTATAGGAGGATTCAAAGATTTTCTGATTGCTATTGGTTGAAAGAGTTAAATTATTATCTAAAGACCTGGAATCAATAGAAAGAAAATGTCTGAATTAAGATAAGGAGTTGGGAGGTTCTTATCATGTAGATGAAGTCTCATAGCTGGCTGCCCTTAGATACAATAGATAGTAAATGTTTCCTATTCAGAGTTTTAAAAGGTGCTAGACTCTCTGTTAATCTCTTTAGGATTGAGAGGGCCTGGAATATTGAAAGATCTAGTTGCGTTAATAGATATTCCTGACAGATGCAAATTTTCCTCCACAAAAGGCAGCTTTGCAGAATCATTTCAAAGTATGGCAAAGAAAGATATTTTGGGGTAAACATTTTTATTTCCTTTTTTAACTGTCATATGATACTAGACTAAAGTTAGGTTGGAATTTGGTATTTTATTGCTACAAGGAATCTTTCTGTCCATCTTAGGATCTCTATTTTAATGTTAATGCTGCTCAGTTGTGTCTAAACTCCAAAAGGGAGAGTGTATGAGGAGACATGTCTGATGCTCTTCTTCCTGCTATGGCCAGAACTAGTTTTTGCAGTTTCTTTGGTTCCCTTTGACCAAGAGGGTGGGTCCATTCAGTCAGTTGGGGGACTCAGGCTTTTATATTTGGCTTATAATAAGGAGGCGGCTGATATAAAGAGATAAACTCAGAAAAATTGTAAAAAGAAAAGTTCTTTTTTCTTCCTAGAGCCATCCAATGAATGAGACAGATTCTTCAGATTCACAGGGTTAAGAAGAGCTGCCTTTAGCACATTGCATTTCTCAATTCTGATTCAACTGGAAGCTCACATAGCCTAGAAATAGAGGTTTACTGAGGAAGATCTGTGTATTTCTTATCATTCCAGTGTGGAAAACATCCAGAACCTGTCACACTCACTACACGGAAATCTTCTATGCCTTAGAAATATTTCTGTCTTCTTTAGCAACCACGTATTCTATCTCAGCTATTCCACCTCTGTGCTGCTGCCAAAAGTTTCCAGCTTCATCTACTTTCCATCTGAACCAGATCTCAAACTACATTTAAATCTAATACAGCTGACCAAATCTACAGGAAAATTCTTATCTAGATAAACTGACAAATACACATATTTATGTATTTCCACCTACCTTCATGAACCAATTTCACCACAACTTATGCCACATAAATAGTTTTGAGACTACTATTACGTGTTTTACTCTTAAAAAGCTTTCTTTTCACCCAATATAATAATGGGCATTATTTTCTATGCTTAAGGACTGAAGTATTACAGCAAGTTAGTAAGAAAGTAAAACATTATACAGCTCATCTGGAAACCGCTTTCTAATTTTTTTAGACTAAGATTAGGATGCAAATCCAACCCGGAAATTGAACTGTCACTAAGCATCTTTGTTCATCTGATCAGTGCTCAAAACCATCTGCACTGAATTGTAAGATATTAATAACAAATCGTTTAACAATCAGCTAGGATTAAAGGACAAAGCCTCTTAGAGAGAGTTTTATTGGTGGATTTTAAAAATAAAAGAAAAACAGCACATGTCACATTTTTTTCTAGATTGTAGAACTCCTTAAAGTGTTTTTGTTTATATATTTGAGTGCTGCTTTTATGAAAGTGCTGCTTGACTTACGTTTTACATCTTGGTAAGGTCATAGGCAGTATCTGAGAATCAAGTTCGTTCTTCTGAGAATTTCCAGCAACTTTTAGAGACCAGCTCAATAACAGTATATCATTCAAATCAGCATTTTATATAGAAGGGCCTATGGTGATAATGTGGAAATCCACCAGGATTCCCCTGAACCAAGGCTTCAGGAGGTATCAATTATTCTGTGTAAAAGACTCATTCTGAGGACCTGCAAGAAGGCGCCTGCATTACAATTATAATGTAAGAAAATTCAGATATGTCTTAACTTTTGGCAAACAAATAAGATTTTTAGATATATATCAGTAACCAGATACAAATTTAACACTTTTTAACCAATCCTTCCTCTTCTAGCCAAGAACTGTGATATCTAAATGCTTCTCACTCTTCATTCTCAGGATAACACATCAGTTTGCACCCAAAAGTATATCGCAAACACCTGCCAGCAATTCGTGCTTCAATTCTCAAATCCATTTCAACCTATAATTTTTCTACTGAAAATTTTTTAACATTCTGAGACAGAGTCATGGTACCACTAAAACAAGACAGCTCGAAATGAAAGGTTCCCGAAAGATCACCTAGTTCCATTATTTTTATTTATCATATGACAAAACTGAGGCCCAACAGGTTGCCTGACTTATCCCCTTCAGAGCAAAGGCAAGCAGAGGAAGAAATAAAACAATCCTAGATCTTCAATCTGGGTGCTTGTCATTGTTGTCATTTGTGGAGGTATTGTTTGTTTGTTAAAGACAGGGTTGTGCTGTGATATCCACACTGGACTGCAATGGCTATTTACAGATGTCATGCTCACTACAACCTCAAACTCCAGGGCTTAAACAATCCTCCTGCCTCAGTGTCCCTAGTAGCTAGTAGCTGGGACTACAGACATGCATCACCATGCTTGGCTGTTCATTTTGATTGTTAGTTTAAAAAAAATGCTACAAATTATTGGATTAAACTAATTAAAAATATTTTAGAATGTAATTGCAAACAATAAAACTAAACATTCTAGTAAGTCTTACTTAGGTACAAGATCCAGAGGAAAGGGTAGCTATCATTGATACAAAATGATAAGACAGTTAAAATCTTGGAAATACCTGTCTCTGACTAGGCATTGTTTCCCTGGCCAGTTCCATGGCGGATGTTCTTTTGTGGACCTAGCCTTTCAGGGATCCCTCAAATCTTTCACCTTGTGGACAATTCTGGGGAAATGAGCCGATTTCTACAGTCATCTAGTCAACAGTAACAAGAATTCCACTGTGTGCCGAATATAGTATTGAGTAAAGAATATGAGTAACAATTCTCAGAAAATTCTGTATTACAGAGATGGTTAGCCACTTACAGAGAGGCAGAGATAGTCTCCTCCTATGCTGTACTGCACTAAATTGTTTTTAAAAATTATAGAAGTTATTCCTATTTTTAGATGTTCTTAGAAGATAGCAGAACAGACTATCTACAAAATATAAAATGGATTTTGGTAACATTCTGGAGAATACTAAGTGCAATCTCTGATTCCATAGTATTTCATTTTTGTTTTCGTTTTCGGTATTTTTGTAACCATTAACATGTTGTACTGGAATTTAACACTTCACACATTGTATTAAAATTGCATATTTTCTTGATTTCCCCCATTATATTGTGAGTTTTTTAGAGACAATGTTTTATTAATTTTCCAGTACCTTACACCAAGCCCAGTACCTAGTGCATAGAAAGCGTTCAGTAAATGGTGGATGAATGAACAACTGAAAGAATGAGTGAGTGAATGAAATCATGAATACCTTATATTTCAAAAATTTTTATAGTTTATACACTATTAACTTGAATATTTTAAATTCAATATTCAGGCAGTCCTGTCCTCACTTTCCAGAAAGCCTTGATGAGGGTAAGTAACTACCTCAGGTTCTTACAGGCCATTACATAAGAAAGCCAACTCTAGAATCCAGATGGCATTCTATTATTCCATCACTCCATGGGAGTTTGGGGAACACCGGGAAAAAAAAAAAAGCAAATGTGATCTTGAGTGTTTAAAACACAGCGCTTTAATCAGGCAGACAGTTTACAGATGCCTATAAAAATGTTTTGTTGGTAACATCCAAAGAAAAATAGTCATTCCTCACCACCAGAACCCAATGATATGTCATTTCCACAGTTCTGAGTTATCAGCTTCTGAAACCTTCTAAAAATCAAGATTGAGTGGTACGTTTTAATGATGCCAAAGTAAGAATCAGGATGAAATTTTAAACCCACATTACACTGTATTTAATTATAGAAAATGACATATTAATTTAACTCCCTCATATAAAATATTTATTCTAAATGTGAATGGAGAGCACTTTGTCAAATTTCACACCAACTTTGTATTGTTGTTGTTGTTTTTTAAGGCACAGCATCTGACTTTGTCACCCAGGCTGGAGTTCATTGGTGCAGTCAGAGCTCACTATAACCTCAAATTTCTGCTCCCAAGTGATCATCTTGCCTAGGCCTTCTGAGTAGCTGGCACTACAGATGCATACCACCATGCTTGGCTAATAATTTTTTAAAATTTTTTACAGCAATGGGGTCTTGCTATGTTGTCTTGACTGGCCTTGAAGTCTTGTCCCCTAATAATCCCCCTACCTCAGCCTCCCAAAGTGCTGGGATTACAGGTGTGTGAACCACCACACCCAGTTCAACTGAGGTAGGGGGATTACTTGAAGACAAGTTAGGTGAGAGGCGTATCTGTTAGAAGATGCTGTTAAATGTTCCAGAAAAATTCTGTCAGTAAGAAAAATAGAATGTATAGAAGAAAAAGTGATGTATAATATTTGCTTAAATTTTCTCTGAACTTTTTCCACCTGCAAGCCAAATCATTATATAGAATAATCACCTTTGAGGAAAGATACATGTCTAATAATATTTATCATATAATATTCAGAAGATGAGATTCCATGTACTCAGTTTACCCTTGAACAAAGCCAGGGTGCCTACTCCTCACATAGTTAAAAACATATGCATAACGTTTGACTCCCTCAAAACTTAACTACTAATAGTTTGCAATTGACTAGAAGCCTTACTGATAACAAAACAGTCAATTAACACACATTTTGTACGTTATGTGTATTACATACAGTGTTCTTACAATTAAGTTAGTTAGAGAAAAAATGTTATTAAGAAAATTGTAGGGAAGAAATATATACTACTGTGTGTCTTAGTCCATTTTATGTTTCTATGACAGCATACGGGACTCTGGGTAATAATTCATAAAGAAAAAAGATTCATTTGGCTTGCAATTCTGAGAGCTGGAAGGTTCAGGATTGGGCACCTGATGAAGGCGTCAGACAGCTTCCACTCATGGAGGAAGGCAAAGGGGAACCACCTGTGTGAAGATCACATGGAGACAGAGGGAGTCAAAGAGAGAGAGAGAGAGGGGAGGTGCCACTTTTTAAATATCAGCTCTGGAGGGAGCTAACAGAGTGAGAACTCACTCACCTCTGAGGGATGGCATTAACCTATTTATGAGGGATCCACCCTCATGACCCAAATACCTCCTACTAGGCCACACCTCCAACATCAGGGGTCAAATCTGAATGTGAGGTGTGGAGGGAACAAATACCTCACCATAGCACTATTCATTAAATGGACTTGGGTCATCACAAAGGTCTTCATCCTCATCGTCTTTCCATTGAGTAGGCTGAGGAAGACGAAGAGAAAGATGAGGGTTTGGCCTTGCTGTCTCTGGTGGCAGAGGTGGAAGAAGTGGAGAAAGTGGAAGGGGAGGCAAGAAAGGCAGGCACACTCACTGTAAGTTTACTGAAAATAAAATCCACATGTAGGCGGACCTGCACAGTTCAAGCCCATGTCGTTGAAAGGTCAACTGTATATCAGTTTGTACTGCTATGGTTTGAGTGTGGTTTGTCCCAGCAAAACTCATACTGAAATTTAATCCCCAATGTGGCAGTGTTGGAGACGAGGCCAAGTGGAAGCTCTTCTGGTATGGGGTAAAATCCCTCATGAATAGATTAATGCACCCAGTCGGATGCACATTCTCTTTCTCTTGGGAATTAATTCCGGAGAGTGTGTGTTGTTAAATTGAGTTTGCCTTATTTGGCTTCTCTCTCTTGCTTCCTTTTTTTACCAGGTGATCTCTCTGTAGGTGCCCACTTCTCTTCTGCCTCCCATTGTAACTGGAAGGAAACTGAGGCCCTCACTAGATGCAGATGCCCAATCTTAAAACTTTCCAGCCCCCCAGGATTGTGAGCCAAGCAAACATCTCTTCTTAATTTGTCAGCCTCAAGCATTATGTTATAGCAACACAATATGAACTAAGAAACACACAGACACATATATACACACAACTGACATCTCACTTAGACCATGCCAAGAAGGATCCAACAATATAGATCAATAGGGTTTTGCTAAAATGTTAGCAATTCCTGTTTACTGATCCTAAAATATCTTAATGTGTAGCTTCATTGAATAGATTTAGTCGTGGGCATGTAAAAGGTTTTCAAAAGTCCTTGTGTATTTGCACAGATAATATAAGTATACCTGCATGACTAGCATCCAAGGACCGTTGGTAAATTAGTCCCCATCTCTCTCATTAGTCTCAGATATTTTCCATCACTTATTTCTGTCACTGAGAAAAATATGTCATCATTTGGTTATCTTTATCAGCTGTCATTGAATGATCTAATTTTACTTATGAGCACAGACTCCTCTCCAGTAGATCAATCTATAGAATGAGAGAGTGGATTGCGCTTTAAACAAACAGAGCAGTCTGCAAACTGATAATCGGATGGTCTGGAGTCCCACCAGTCGTATCTCATTTGAGGCAAGACATAAACATTGATAGTTCTCTTCATAGCTTATGCATCAGTCAAAATATTAGGACCTTTCTTTTTTACATTTATTTTCAAAGAGATGGCTCTTTTTCTCTCTGTATATTGTAAGCCCTTCAATGCTGTTTTTACCAAGTTTTTGTCCCTTTTCACAAACCATCCTCATTATTTTTATCACTGTTGGAATTGATTTTAAAACCTTGATTCTTCTTGACAGGGCATGGAGGAATGTCCTTCACTAGGGATGCCAGGATAAAGTGAATTTATGAGCCCACATGTAGATCTGATAAGAATGCAGAAATCATTTTTATTATGTGCATAAAACAGTGGCCGATTAAAGGACAGTCACATTTTCTTCTGACAGAATATCTGTGGCACTCCAGAAACCAGGCTTTATTTTTTAAGGTTAACCTTATAATGAAACAAAGTTTGAATTAGAAACTCTTAAAATGTACGGGTAGGAGATGCAATGAAGCAATGCAATAAAATAATAAAATAAAAATAAAACCAAATTATGAATGAGCATATTTGGAAGAATAAACTTTCCCAGTTAGATAGTGCACGTGAAGATAAATGATTTTAAGCAGAATAGGAAGTTAAGAGAAACATCGTCTCCTATTTGAGCACCTCTCAGGATCCACATGGGTATAGAAATCAAGTTCATTAGAAGTTCATGTTGTAGTTCTGGGATCTCATTTACACAAAAGACACAAATTTGCAAACATAAATTTCGATGATTCAGGACCTACAAGTCATCTACAAGTCAGCTTATTGCAATATCTATTGAAATGAAGCAGTTCTAAGATACTTAAGCACTTTTTTCACTCTCTGTAACAGTTATTTTGGTGCTTTTAAAATTTTCTGTCTTTTGAACTCAACACTTGTGCCCAAAGTCTCACCCACAATTGCTCTTAGAACACTAAGATGTGAAGATGTAGGAGCAGAGAGGCAGCATTTGCAGGAGGGGCCATGCATGTTGTTTCAATACAAGGAAGGCTCTTCTGTTGCTCCAGGAAATTAGTTGCCCTGGTGTAAGAGTTACCTAGAGAA